AAAAGTAAGCTCTTCATGGTAATCTGTCCACCAGCTAGTGAGGCTTAAAGTGGTCTTTCTCAACTCAGACTCTCCCTGGTTAGAAACCGGAGACAAGCACCCACATGTTTACTGGTGGTTTGCCACCTGCACATCATTTTGACTCATGACCACACAGCGATCACATTCACATAGTACAAAATCACCCACAACCATGCCCAAATGGTTTTCTTTGGGATCTAAGGGTAGAATGAGGCCTGGTAATCACCAGTTTCTGTCACTAAATGTAGCAATCCCAGGTTGACTCTCTCTCCACACCAGTCACTGAGTAGAGGAGAAATATGAGATGTGCATCACATCACATGTTGATTACTATACACTCCTGGGAGAAATGGAGAAACATGATACAAGCTTACTATTTGGGGTAGGTGCCCCATATTTATCACATCTAGTCAGAGAAGACAACATGTTGCAGGCATTACAAAAATGAAAGTGGCTCCTCCCAAACATTATTTACTTTGCCAAGTTTCCCCCTTTCTACTTGGCTTCACACAGAGAGGCACACAAAATGTCACAATACACAACCCCTTCTTGGTGAGCCAGTAATCTCTGCAAGTCTTTTATAGTGTAATAAATCTCAGCCAATGCTACCTGCAGTATTAAAGAACAAATACAGAAACATGGGGATAGGAAAGAGGGGCGTGTGTTGAGTACATGCCGGGGGTGGGGGAGCAAGGAGGATTCTTAAAGTGAAAGCAGCTGTACAGTGCGACTAGGTGGCCTGAGTTCTCACACGCCTTGCTCCAATTCAATCACACATGGAAACATCCCTCAAAGCAATGCTGGCCTATACGACTTACAAGCACTAACAGTTTGCAGGTATAATCTGTGCTTTTAGCAGCTGGAATAAAAGCCCCAGGAAAGTGGAGAACTTAGTAGCTATGCCCCCTCAACTTGATGCATCTTACTACAGAAGTGATCAAAAGAAGAGCATTTAGTTCTGTTTATCAGGTGTGCAGACAACAGGCTGTCAAAAGCATTTGGAAACTACAACTAGTCCAGAATATGTCAACTGGGTTATTGACAGGTGCTCGTCAAGAAGATCAGAAGTCAAGAGTGTTGAAACTACTGCACTGGCTTCCATTTCAACTCCAGGCCCAGTTCCAAGTGACCCACAAGGCCCTGGAATTATTTAAAGGACCACCTTTGCCTATATAAACCCATTTGTTAAGGTCATCTTCTGAAGCTCTTCTCCAAGTGCTTCCCCCTTCAGAGGTTAGGTGCGTCTTTTTCTGTAGAGGAAGCCCTGTATATGGATGACACCCCCAGCACCTTTTTTCTCACAGTCAGGGTGCTACATTAAACTATCCTATTCGCTAAGATCTTTGTTGATGGTTGTAGTGGAGAAAGTAGGTTAGAGGGAATAATTACAGCTAGTGCTTTACATTTTCTGTGCTCTGAAACGGTTGCGTTTGAGCCCTGGTTTACCATTGTGATTACTTGGTGCTTTGATTCTATAAAGGAAGCCACAGCCTTGCCTTTGGAAGAGCTGAGCAGAGCTGTCAAGGACAGGTCATTTCGGAGGGCATCCATTCATAGGGTCACAATGAGTTGGAGATTATTTGACAGCACATAACAACAACAAATTGATTCGGGAGGTGTCTGCCACTGTCCCTGCCCAGCAGGGACCATTGGCAAGCACTTGGAAGCAAGCACTTTCTGAGACAACCAGAAAGAGCAGAATCACTTGCTTCCAGAAAAGGGTAGGTCTGTGAAGCTTGCAGAGGGGAGCACAGCTGACTGGTCCCCTCCAGAAACAAGCATTTCCACATTTTCCTGGTTCGCTTTCAGAAGCACTGACTCTTGTCGCAGCAGCAGGTCCTACAACGGAATTAGCATCAGTATAGGATACTGCCCTTAGTATTGCTTATGTACATATAATTCTAAGTAAGTCACCTCGTACATTTCTGTAAATACAAAAGACAGTTTAAAAAAAAAATCTGCTCCATTATGATTTATTTTTCTGCTCCTTTTAGCCAGAGGCTGAATATAAAAAGATAAAATAAATTATAAGAGCAGTGTTAATAAAATTACAGACAAACTGGACAGTGACAAACTAAGTTGAATGTTAAAAATGAATGATTAGGGGGCTAGTGAAAAATAAATAGCAAATCATGGGATGGGAACAAATGCTGTGGATGGACAGAAATGTTCATTTACAAGTTGGTTCAATCTGTCCCTGCACTAACCTGTAAATTTAAAGACAATGGTACTTAAATATGAGTTTTTGAATATATTTCTCATAGAATACACATTTTGAAACCTATTTTAGAGAAATATGGTTTAAAGAAGGGCAAAGTCAGGAGAGTTACCTTTGGCCCACACCTTAGTCTGGTGGAGCAGGGGGCAGTGTAGCATGAATCAATTTTTTTTACTGTCAGTATGTTTTACATTGTAAGCCACCTAGGGAGGCCTTGTCAATTATAGGCAGCCTATAAATATATGTAAATAAATAGGCTCCCACTAGAATTCACTAAGATCAAACTTCTCAAGCATCCCTGCAAAAACCTGGATGTTTATAAGACTATTGGGAAAAAATAGTTTGAATCATCCCCCAGAAAGGGAAGGGAAGGAATCAGATGCAGCTTCCAAGGTACAGTGTTTGAGACCCTGTTCAGCATGCCTACCAAGCAAATCTCCAATAATGGTGACAGGAGGCTGCTCAAAGGATGGGGCACTCAACAGAGAGGCAGTATTAGATGGAACGAAACAGTCCTGTAGACACCCTGTACCCAAGCCACAGCTCAAATTGGGCTTGGAAATGACTTGGAAGCCAGCAGAAAATGTACAAATGAGATAACCGCATTATCCAAGCAAGCTTGTTCCAAGAAAGAACAAGTTACAAATGGCCCTTGAAAACTTGCTCTTTTTTTGAGAAAGGTTCTACTGAAGAACAGACAGAACTTTCATTCTAACCCTCAAGTTCATTTCTGGGAGTCAAGCTTTTAAGCTCTATCCCCTCCAGTTTTCACCAGCTCCAGCCAACAAAGCCAACAGACTCAAATTCTAGGCACTGTAGTCCAAAATAATAGGAGCCCACCAGGTTGGGGAAGGCTTCTCTGCAGTGTCTAGACTATTTAAAGATCTCATGTACCTTCCCAGGGAACTGTGGCTGGCCTTGACTTCTAAGGGAGAGCATGGATGCTCTGAGATGGAGGAGAACATCTGAAACTCACCCAACTGAGAGAGAGACAAACTGCTCCATCATCTGATTACTGATTGTTTTTGGTAGGCTGTGTATGTACATAGTTTTCATGTGATGTTTCATATCCTATTTTTAAGGTTTAAATCGATCTGGAAAGCTTTGGCTATTGGGCAGTACAGAAATATAATTAACAGCAACACATCTCCTGGCTGAAACCTGTTTTGGACAAAAATTAGGCCTGGTCTTATCTAAGGTGGTACACCTGCATCTGGGATGTACCATGCCAGGCTGCAGCAAGGAGACCACCTGAGTGAATGCTAACACTCTGTGTGAAAAGAAAGCTAAGGCATTAGAGACATCCAGTTTTCTGCTAGCTTTCTGTGGAAAGGAGCATTCAGACCTGAGAGACTCATGCAGCTCCGCTCTGACGTGGCAGAAACCAGGCACAGGTTGCTGACTTCAGCAAGAATTAGGACTTTGCTGACCACAGCAACCAGAAGCATGAGGTACATACACTTCTTGTTTCCTTCACAACACCTGCATATCTAAAGTGGCAGTAGGAAACAATGCTAAGAAACATTAAACCACATGTCCCCAACTCTTTTGAGATGATGAGTACATGTGGAGTTTTGAGAGCATTGCAGACATTCTCACAAAAAGTTGGGCATGGCCACTCACAAACTATGCATTTCTTAGAGGGAAAACCGATGTGACTGAAAGAAAAGTAACTGCATGAACCTTCATAGAAGCAACAGTGGACTCAGAGCTCCAAAGCTCATCTCTTTTGATCCCAAACACAAATGGTGCTATAAAACGCATTTTGCTTCATGCATTCCAGACTCCTAGCCATTTTTATTATTTTTAATACAAAACAATAATCTTAAATGCAATAAAAATCTGATGAGCACAAAAAGAGAAGACCACAGGTACTTTGTTGGACCTGGGCATCATGTTGAAGATCCCAGCATTAAACCTTCCCCCTTTGCTCAGAATAGAAATCTGGTCTAAAGCTGGTTTGGATTAAGATGGTCCCTTCCAAGACTGATTCTATGAAGCCCACCTGGCACACACATTTGTCCACACAGTTCTGCACAGTATTGGGCTGGATTCAGACTAAGGTGCTTATCTTTAGTTGCTATCAAAATTATTGAAATAAACTAATTTATCCTACAGATTTCAGTCAGATTGGATTGATTGATTGATTGTCTGAATTGATTCAATTTCATTTCATTGATTCAATTTCATTCAATTTCATTCAACCTTACTCTGGTTCCTCTGCAACATCCTGAGAACTTGAAAGCTCATGAAAATATAGTATGGGTACACTGTGTACTGGGACTCCTGGCTCAGCTGTGTTTTGGAAGTGCTGTGGATCCACAGTACTTTAAGAGCCACCGAAAGACACGTTTTACCAGGAACAGCTCCTAAATGCAAGGTGGTGCAGCAAACGCACAGGAACATTTGGTTGTGTCTCCAAACTGTGCAATATTTTCACTCCTCTCCACTTCTACAGACTAGGCATCAGGGAATATTTTCCAATGCTATATGTCCTTAAAGAATATAGCTTTCAGTAACCTTTTTGAAGAACAGTTAAATCTACCTTTCACAGTGAGCCTATCCCATTAAGCAATGTTCAGTTATTAGCATGTCAGATTCCAAAATAACATTAAAAATAAAAACTAAAAAAGAGTGCCAGCAGATATTGAACAGCTTGTATTCCCAAGGAACAGAGGGTGGGATGGGATGAAAGCTCCATGAGAAAATGAAAGCTGCTAATCTGTTTTCCAAGTGAAACATTTGAGGTGATTGCTCTAACCTGGGGCACAGTACATTCTCTCTATGGCATCGTTGTCACAGGAATCTTCAACCTCACTCCACCTGCTAAAATACGTTAGCTGAATGTGTCCTAAAAACAAAACGACAGGAGAAATCAAAACATTTTTCCCTTCCATTTTCTGCAGAAGTGAACTGTAATTACTCCTTTTGTAGCTAAAAACAGTATCATTAAGAATAATGGCATCATTAAGTACTAGAAGCTATTACTGGGGGTGAATTTGCTGCACTGATAATGAAGCTCTAGACAGGAAATGAAGATACTAATTACAAGATAAAACGCCTACTCAGTTAATTGGAAGCAACAGCGAATAAAAAGAAATGCATTTGCAGAAGTTCCTGACCTCGATCATTCAATAAGATGTTGTTTGGGTTCAAATCACGGCACACAATTCCTTCTCGATGCAAGGCATCAAGGGCTACAACCATTTCAGCTGCCCATCTTTGAATGCAGCCCTCAGGGAGGTAAAACCTGGAGGTTAGTGCTAATCTGTCATCGAGGTCCTGAAAAATTTGGTGTATTTCGCTCTCTCCTCTTCCCTCCACCTCCAGCTCCACGCTTCCTGCTTTGTGTAGTGAGACAGAGGCCATCCTCTCTTCAATGGAGGCTTCAGCATGATCCGAAAACAGCAGCATGGCTTCCCTGTCCACACCCAAGCTACATTCTTTAGCAGCTGCTTGTGTGCTGGGAGTCAGAAAGTTTTCTTCTACACCTAACGGATCAAATGATGCACATGCTGACACTCCAAGCCCTTGAAAGTGAGTCCTATCCTTGGAACCAGCTGAATCATTAACAACCATATGGCATATCTTGATTGGTTCCTGATTGTCCCTGCACCGTCCTCTTGATTCTTCTCCTACCAAATGGTCTGCCTTTTTCTCAAGCACTCGGCACTGCTCGGTGCTATTATTCAGTTGCAAGACATCCGGGGTTTCCAAAAGCTTGCTCTCTAAAACATCTTTGTCCTGCTCTGTCAGCTTTGCAGGCCTATCTACTGCCACTTCTTTCATTTGCTCAGTTATGCCAGGTAAGTTGACCAAAAGGTCAGGCCTTCCTTCGTCCACACTGCTGACGTCATCGAAAGCAACATCCTTAAAAGAGATCACTGGCACAGAATCATTTGAACCCCTGCTGATTGTATCCTGAGACACGGGGCCCAATTTGTTGTCAATGACATCCAAGCCTTTATCCCAATCCGCCAAAGGAAAAAGTTGCTTCAAAGATTCTGATTTTAAGCTGTGAAGTTTATCTCCAAAATCAAGGCCCAGAAGTTCATTGGCACTGTCTTTACTGTCAATTCTAAAGAATTCCATTGGGCTGTTTTTGGAATGACTTAGAGATTCCGATATCCTGCTAGGGCTAGCTATTTCTTGATCAGCATTACTGGCAAAAACGTTTACTTCCTGAGATGTGAATGCAGATCCCAACCTGCCACTGGAAACTGCCTGGGAATCTCCTTGGTCTTTGGTAAGAAGAACCCCATCATCTGCTTTCAGGATTGGCTCTTCATTTAATGAACCTGGATCGACCTTTTCTTGGCCATATTCATTGCATAATGTCAGGTAACTGGTTGTGCATTCTTCCTCTGAACTGCACCCAGAATCAATCCACTTAGGAGAACTTTCCGGGCCATCTTCCTGGTTACTACTGCCATCCTGAGAACTTGGAGTGAGACTGGCCTTCAGTGGTAAAACCTTTAACATGTTGCTTCCATTGCTTCCCCTGGAATCAATGCTACTGCCGGCATCTGGAGGACTTGGAGTTGCTTGATGCAACTTTATTTTGGTAGAGCTGGAGCATTTGGATTTAGGGGCTTCAAAGCTTTCTTTAGGACTCCTGTTCAGGAACTTACTGATGTAAGACCACAGTTTGCCTCCTGAAACAGAGAAAAGGAAAAGAATCAGAATTAATGTTTGTAGTGCATGACAATGGTAAGAATGAAGGGGTGAATTTTCCAGAAAGTGCTGTTAATAGTGATGGGAAATACCATCTCACAACCCCTTTCTGATCCCTTGACCCTACTTAATGGCAGACTAGTATGTGGGTCTGCACTGATCCTATGTTTCAACACTTTCATCTCCTATCTTGCACAGAAGACTTTATTTCTATACTAACCAAAGCTGTCTTGGAAGTTCACAAGCTACAGTAAGATACTAGACTTGATCAGAACAATTGACATAAACATGCCACCATCTGTCACCAAACACTTAAGAGTAGAGGACAGTCCTAATCTGGTGCTGCACAGATGACAATATTGGCATCAGGTGGACCTCAATGGGAAGAGCATGCCAGAATCAGCAGACTACCGAGGAGAAGGCCTCCTCTCCTTGTTGCCGCCCTGTTAGCAGACAACTAGAAGAAGGCCTCAGGTGTTGGCTATAGCATCTAGCCAGGCTCATTCTGGGAGAGGCACTCCATTAAGTATCGCTGTCCCAAGCCATGCACAGCTCCATCAGTGAAAACCAGCACCTTGAACTGAACTCAGAAACAGACAGCCATACAAATGACACCACAGTTGGTGTCCTTTGCTCAAACCGTCTGGCCATGTTATTAAGCTGGCTGCTGCATTTTGCATACATGGAAGCTTCTAAACTGTCTTCAAGGGCAGTACCATGTAGAGGGCACCGCAATAAGCTAACTTGGAAGTTAACAGAGCATTGAAGGCAGGTTACCTCTATCCAGATAGGGGTACAGCTGGTCTATTATTTGAAGCTGGTAGAAGGCTCTTCATGCCACTGAGGACACCTAAGTCCCAAGTGACAAAGATAGCTCAAGAAGAACTTCAGAGTCAGGAACCTGCTCCTTCACGTAGAGTGCAACACCGTCCATAGCAGGATGAATAACATCTACTTGGTCAGAAGAACCACCAACTAACAGCATCTCAGTCTTGTCTGAATTGAGCTTCATTTTAATAGCCCTTGTCCAGTCCATTGTCACAGCTTGGCAGTGATCTAGCACTGGTCAGCTTGGCACAGTTCTAGCTTACCAGGATGAAATAAAAAAGAAATGTAGCAGTGTGTCATCAGTATACTGATAGCAAGGGACTCAGAAATTCCTGCTGCCCATACAGAATGGTTTAATGTAGATGTTAAATAGCATTGGGGGGGGGGGCTGACCTCAGTAGAACCCCATACTAGAGAATCCACACGACTGAGCAAAATAATTCTGGAGCCAACTATCCAAGTTGGAGTGAAACCACTGCAATGCGGAACCCCAACTCCAGGCAATTTTCGTCACCTGCTGCCTGGTCCCTCTAACTGGCTGTGCCAGGGATTGAACTTGAGACCTTCTGCACTCCAAGCAGACACTCTGCCACTAACCCATGGACCCACCCCATCTTCCCAATGGAAACAAAGCCCAAGTGTAACCGCATTTGCTTGCATCCAGCCGTTGTTTAATTTGCTGCCCGACCCATTGCTGTGTTATGTCACATTCTCTGATCTAAGTTTAGACTAAAGTAAGGAGTAAGACCCTGTACTTTGTTCCATAAAATGCCTTGATGGTGCTTTCTACATAACTTTCACCATTAGAAATACAACTTAAAGCTATTAATTTCAGATGCTTTTAATTTCTATCAGTGAACACCCCAGAATTACATATACAAATTAATAATGGGGAGAAATGACAGAAAACCCAGTTTTCTTTTTTTAATGCATACCTTGATACAAACAATGAAAATCATTTCAATATATCCTCATTGATGTATTAGGCTGAGAATGGCATCAAAATGCAAATATGTAAATAAATGCTTTTTAAAGTTATGCATGTTAGAGGAGGAAAGGACCTCTAACATGCATAACTTGTTAGAGGTCCTTTCCTCTTCTAACATGCATAACTTTAAATTTAATTCCTTTATTTCAAAATGCCCAATCTAGGTCATAAAGGAGCAATATTTCCATTTGGTTATATAATTGTATCTTTATGAATGACATTCTAATAATCTTTCCCATCTTGTACTACAATAGATAAGATCAACAAAATGCATTAGCCAAAGTTAATAAGCTATTTGCCATCCATTATTATACAAATTATGGGCAGGGAGAAATCAATCTATGCAATGGAGTTTGCATAAGTCTGAAGTCTTGCTTCCCATTGACCAAGTGCCAAAACCATGCTGGGAAATAGCATTGAATTATTAAAGATGGAATGTTCTGTAAGATTATAATAAAGTCATCTAAATTTTAAGCAAAGTTCATTCAGAAAACTATGCTTTTCTGTGTTAATAAGACTGAGTTAAGCAAATTTGAGGGATAGTGCATTGGCTAAGAAATAAGGCAGACATGAACTTTTGCTGACAGGAGACTGCAAAGGTATGTAGCATTAGAGAATGCGAGAAAGCGGAGACTAAGAGCTGAGATCAAAGATTTGTACAAGTGTCATAAAATTCTAGGTAAAATAGAGAACTTCAACAAAAACTAAAGAGCCCATACATGCATTTTTATCATGAGCAGAAATATCTGAAGAGGCAGTACATATAACAAGAGTGAAATATGACTATGTTTACAAAAAGAAAAATATGATGGGAGGGAAGCTTAGGCAAACTTAAAGGCACAATGGCTGGGTCCACACAAAAAGCCATGGCAGTTTTTTTATTCTTGTTGGTCTGTCCTGTTGTCCAAACCCAGACACAGAATTTCAAACTGTTATGTTTGATTTCTGGTCTGCATGGTTTCCACACATCACCACAGCTTCCCAAGATGCTTGGACACAATTTTTCCATATTTCTGTTCCTGAGGAAAATATACTATAGAGTCCTGTGAAAAGAGCAGCAACAGAAAGGGCCACTCTAGCCATCTAATCTATACTATTCTCAGTTTCGTAGCAACACATGTCAACAATCACTTTGTTCCTACTGGTTGTCCACTGTGCCCATCACCCTGTTTACCTGCTGCAACAGGGAGAAAGCAGTAAATGCGCACACAGAGAAGGAGAGAATCACAGCAAAAATGTTTATTTGAATTTTTTAATGGCTGCTGGATTGGCTAGGAAGCATTAAAGAGATGGAGGTACAATTGGGAGGGGAAAGAGAGAGACCCCACCTTCATATGTCAGCAGACCAATCAGGAAAAGGCAGCTGAGGTTGATAGGGAACAATAAAGAAGGAGATTTTGCTCACCAGTGCTGCTGGGATGCATGATGAGAGCAGAAGGCTGGAGCAGGGGAGCAAGCAACCACAATTGCATGGAAATTATGTGAACATCTGGCCAACGGGCCAAGACAAAAAAGGTGAGCTGAAGAAACAGTGCAGGGTTCTGGGCCATACCATCCAAACCAGGTCTGTTGTAATTTCAAAAGGTTACCGGTGTGGACAGACATACAACAGCAAAAAACTGCAGACAACAATGCAATCAACTTTATGCAAGACTGGAGTGTTATAGGTTGATGCAAAAAACAATTTCTGAGCAGAGTAAAAAACAGTAATCTAAGTAGGCTGTAGAAAAGAATGCAACATAATACTAAAGAAAAAGCAAATAAGGCCAGATGCAAAATCTTAAAAAGCAATAAGCATGGGAACTAAAACGGGCAGCATTACCATTTTAAAGCATTGTGGGTTTTTTTTAAGAATGGGAACAATGCCAAGATTTAAAGAACTTTTTTTTCAAAATAAATTAATAAATAGTAATGCTTGGAACTGCTGATATACAGAGAGCTGTATCTCTTTTTAAAATCTGATGACTCTTATAAGCATTTGTATTCAGTATCTCTTCAGTATAATCCTGTTTACTTTTCTGCAGTTTCAATGCTCTGATTATTTGTTAAAGCTCTTCTACACTATATTTTAGCTTGTAAAGAATTTATATAGGATTGCATTGTGAGTTTTATACAGCTAATAATATTCTTCGTCTGTTCTGCTGGTTGCTTATTATGTATTTATTCGTATAATGCTTCAACAGGAAGGTGATATCGATCAAAATACTTTGGGTTCTCAGTGATTTTCATTTTTCATGAATAAGCCCTCTGACTATTCCCCACTTTGGGCATTCCTCTTGTCAGGTGGTTTCCAGTCTTGTTTATTTCATTTTAGCTTCATGACCCTCCTATGAGATTCCTGTCTCGAACTAAGTGATGGAGGCTCACATACTTTGGAGAATCCACAGCTTAAACACGGATTCAAATTCAGGATCTGAACCCAGTGATATTCCTGCCCCACGCCACAGAAGCCTCTGAGCATGTGAGGTGAAGGACATCCTATGGCCATGTTGTTGTTGCTACCTGTGACCCTATGAATGATGCCCTCCAAGATCCCCTGTCCAGCTTTTGGAAACTCAAAGCTGTGCCTTCCTTTATAGAACTGATCCATCTCATGGTTGTGCTTCCTTTTCTTCTGCTGCCTTCAGCTTTTCCTATCATACTTGCCCTCATCTTGTATGTCCACGGCATCTGGCACAAAGGGAGCAGTGCTGTCATATGGAGCACAGAATGTTAGGCCTACTCGTAGTCCACACCTCCAAGCTGGGTTCAGGTTGGAGCCAAACTCTACCAAAACTTTAGGAGCCTTTCACATATTGACCGATGTATACGTCAAGTCAAAGCTGGAGGGTGGGGGTTGTGGAAGGACTGCCTGTTTTCTGCTCCTGGAACAAAATATTCCAACCCTTAAGAGTTTGGACTGAAAAGAAATGTAGCAACAAAGGCATTGTCCTATTACAGCAGCAGAGCCCGCTCACAGGAACATCTTCATTTTGAAGTTTCTTGAGCGCTTTCCAAATTGATATGAACTGCAGCTTGTTTATGCTTAAAAAGATTTGACACTTTCCAACAGCCACTTAAACTTTGATATCCGTCAAAGGCCTCCCCCACCATTCCCAACCCAACCTCCCTCAAGACTCTTTCTGAAGCATCTGTTTCTACAATTTCTGGCAGTGACACTGCTAAGAAGTGGTGAGGCCTCAGATTGGTTTTCCATCACATTATGACTTGCCAAGTGCTTTGTCACAAAGCTAACAAACACTTTATGAATGTTCTTGTCTCTAACAAGCCATTTAATATATTGGGAACAAGAAGCAAAAAAAAAAAAAAAAAAGAAAGAAAGAAAAAGGAAGGAAGGAGTACAACTAGATTGATCTATGATGTTTGGATAGCAGTAACAGAGAGAGAAAACAATCTCACTGGCTGATCCATTTTCTCCACTAAAAGTATGCTTGGAGTCCAATTTCCAAAATCCAATTTAAGCTTTCAGAACTTGATTGGATGGATACATTCTGCAATTAAGTACATGAGAACACAGGAAGCTGCCTGATAAGGAATCAGACCGTTGGCACAGCTACCCCAGTACTGTTGACACTGGCTGGCAATGGCTTTTCAAGGTTCCAGGCAGGAGGTGTTCCAGCCCAGCCTGGTGATGCTGGGCATCTCTGCACATGTGCCCTGCTGCTGAGCTGTAGCTGCTGAAGGGCAGAGGTGGGATAAAGTGAGGAAGATAAAAAGAACTGTTCTGCAGTTGTAGTCCTAATTCTCCTCTCCATCCCTCTTCCTCCAGAGTGCTATTTTGATAATAAATATGGAGGCAAAAGCTACTATCTAACATCCCACTGTTACATATTGGTGTCAGCTGGATTGCACAAGCCACAAGAAGAATCACTGTACTAAACATGCTACTGCAGGAAATGTCTGCTTCTCCCCATTGGTAATTTTGGCCAGTACAGAGCTATGGATCCTATAGAAAGACTGCAGGGGTAACATCCTTGGTTGAATGAACAATGGTTTGTTGGAGTAGAATAAGTAACAAGCACTCCGCTCTCCACATCTATGCCCACCTGTAGGAGCAATTGTCCATGTAAGTTTTGAAAAAAGAGAACTGTGCTTTCAAAGCTCTACCCAAACTAGGATTTACAAACCAGGATCAAACCATTGTTTGCAATCCTGGTTTGTAGGGAACAAACAAACCAAAATTTCCTAGTTCAGATATCAAGGTGAACTGTGATTTAATAAACCATGACATCTTATTGTACAAGCTTATTGTACAAGGGTACAAGCTTATTGTCCACTTCCATCTCTTATTTTGTTCTAGACATTTTGATTCCATGCATTACATATCAAGGAACCCTATGAAGGAAGAAGAGAACCCAACTGTACTTCTTCACCTGTGCTGCAGCTATTCCTAGTGGGTTGGGGAAGTTCTTTACATTGGTTGTGTGTAAAAAAGGGGCAACCAAAGATCCCTGCCTACTTCAACCACCTGTCCGCTTGACCTGTTAACACAGAATGAAAGACAGGGGAAATCAAGAATGGGATTTCCTATTCCTGGCATCTCCCAATATCCCAAGTATCAGAAACCGCATGCCTGTATTGTCAGGACACATCTGCCTGAGGGAAGAAGGAATCCTACTGTACATAGCACAGTGAGGTACCATAGTGCAGACTCCTCATTCACATGCCTTTGGGTCTTCAAGTCATACCTGAAATCCAGAGTGAAGCATGACACTATTGCACTGTACCATGAGCTCATGAGATGTTTGCACAGACCACCAAACCAGATGCAGGCCATTTTTATTGCAGGTGCCATGGCAGGCAGAGAGGGAAAATGTACAAGCAGTGGTACAAGCTCCATAACATTCTTAACACTCTCGTCTCTACATTTTCCCATATTTTTCTGTGCCTTGGGTCCAGGTAGGATGATATCTATATATATACTAGCAGCACTGTAATATATAGCCTCCATTCTATTCTAACAAAAAGGGCAATTAAATATAAGGAATTTTTAATTCTATGTGTTATTACGGTGGGGTAGGAAAATCAAAAGCTAATTATTCTTTGCCACCTGTTCCCTGAACATACCAGCAATTTCCTAAAGACATTGAAGGCGCACACAATTCTGCAGTGCAGCTTTGAACTTCTGTACAATGCCACTGGCTATTTTCTTAAAACACCCAGATCAGAACAACTTTGTAATTGTAGAAACTCAACAAAAGCTTTTGCATGGAGGGTGGTGGGGGAGATTTAGAAGTAGCTTGCATAGGTATGTTAAATACGTTACAGAAATTAGCTTATATGCCAAAGATTTGCCAACCAAAGCTTCATTTCTCCTTCCTTAAAAACATATCTTTGATTTCAAATTTCAGCCTAATGCAGCTATGGGAAACTTGTGGCACTCAAGATATTCTTGGACTGAGCTCTCATTGGTCCCATCCAGCACGGTGAATGGGGATGGAACTGAGAGTCCAGCAATGACAACTGCAGGACCACATTCCTCACCCCACCCCAGTCTAACTCGTTCCCTGTCTTGCTAAAAAAGCAAAAAAATATATTTGAATAAACAATGGCTTAGCTCTGCACGCAGACCAGGCCTCTGATTTCTTTCCCTCAGCAAGTAAAGAGACTTCTGCCCAGGCAAGCCTTTGCCATGTAAGTTGGTCATCTGCTGCTGAAGGGTGTTTTGGTGCTGCCACTTTTCTGCTAGTCCTGTATTTTCAATGAATATGGTTTTAATTTAGACTTGGTTATTAATCTGTATCTGTTAGCTTTCTTGAGCACTCTTCAGAAAAGCAGAATATACATTCAATGAATAAATAAAAAGTTTATTCATTTTGTAGTAATTTTTGCTCAGGGAAGCCTTTGCATGACTTGAATTCTCATCTTAAAATGTGATTCCGGCTGATCCAAGCACAGGTTACTTTTCTTTCTATGTAAGGAACCCAAAGCTGCTCCCAGGCATAAAGAAAAGTTAGCAAGAACGGGGTACTATGCAATTGCAACTGCCTATTCCCACACTTAAGGTTGGGGGGCGGGGGAAGCCGTAATCACAAAAATTACTTCCAGGCTTATCCAGGCTCAAGCCCATTCAGGCTGGTGGCCCACCATGTGGAGGTGGGCGCAACCAGAGCCATGGAAAGTCCCAAATGGCTTGCCTGTGTGAACATATATGTGATCCAGCCCTGAGGACTTGACCCAGCTTTCTCACTCTGACCCAAAATGGACCTGGTGCTGCTCCCTCAAAACATGGGAGCGTTGGCAGTGGGGGGTGTTAAGTAAATGGCACCTGCAGGGCCTCCCAATCCATAAGAGCTATGCCCTTGCCACCCCCACCCCCCGCCCCAATACGGATGAGGACCAAAGGAAAGACAAAGAAACCTCCCATGCTGTAGTTACTATCTAGGTCAAGGATGCTATTTACTTTTAAAAGAACTGCCTCATAATTACTAAGTTTAGAAAGTAACCTGCGCATACCTAGCATGGCAGGAAACATGTGCTCTGTAGATTTACTGAAAAATCACCGTCTGAAACAGAGAGCTCTGCCCACACGCCCTTCTTTAGAGAAGTCGAAAGACAAAGGACCTTGCCTTCCCTGGCTCTACCCTTCAGTGGTTGGTGGGGTTCGAAAAACGTCCACACAGCGCAACTGCATGGCAAAGGACACCTGAGAGACGGCGATTCAAAGTGAAGCATGCCTTTATGTGCTCTGTCACGGGGTTCTAAACAGCTCCGAAATCTCTGGCTCAGAAGACCATGCTCTGGCACAATCTTCCTTAGTCTGAGGCTGTCCAGACGGGGTGGGCTGCAGCCCGCTCTCCTCTGGACACGGCTGGGGAAGGCTGCTCCGACGCTGCAATGTCACGGCCTGAAACCCCGCCGTGTTCCTCCCAGCCACCCCATTCCTGCGATGTATCAGAATCCAGAGACCAACCTTCTGCATGGTGCAGCACAAGGAATACCGACTCTTCTGAGATGATGTACTTGTGCAGAGCCACCATGTTGGGCACGCAGCGGGGGATGATGGTCTTTCTCTTCCTGCAGTACTCGCTACTCTTCCTGAGACCCTGACAGAGAACAAAAAGGTCAGTTGTACCCTCAGTTGCCTTTGGAGCATGCTGTGCTCTGTGCTTATCAACCAAACTAATCTATCCGAGTTACTCCAGGCTTCAGAGAAACCACTCATCTGCTGCTCTATGCCCCTCGGTCCCCCGAGGCCCTGCTGATGGCATCTGGCGCATATCCAGAGAACAGAAGATGGCACAAAGCTGCCATTAAAATCAATTACATGGGTCAATGTTTTCATTAGAATCCTCACAAACCAAGTCATCAGGATGACATGCGGTTATTTTCCTGTGACCTTTTTTATGTTTAAAGAAATCTCATTTTCAGGGTGCTGTGCTTTAAGTTTTAAAGTACATCGCAGATTGTTAACTCCAGCCACATTCTGCAGGGCTGGGCAAGACATTTCTGTTGGACTGAGGGGAAGATGGAGTGGTGACACCCTTTGTTCCCCAAAGAGGTTATGATTTCCAAAGTGGTGCACACACAGTCAGGCTCGCTCTCTCTCTCTCTCTCTCTCTCACACACACACACAGAATTATGAGGAAAGCACTGATGCTGGTAACATGCAAATAAAATGTGTTTCCATGCAGTAAGGTCATAACCAGACCTTACAAAAGACAAGCCGAAAACAAGCCTGTGTCCTTCTCCTTCCTGACAATGCCCAACAAAACGAACATGCCCAAGATGACATTGCTATGCTACAAGTGTTCCTGGCCACGCTCCACTTCATTTGTTGACCTCGCACTGCATATTTTGCTTTATTGAACGTTATCAGGAGAGAAAGAGCTGTCAGGCTGCCGGGGGGGGGGGGGGGGGCAAGGGCTTCCCATTCTTGGCAGCTGCCACACATCTCTTAGAACATTTTACTTATCGCAGTACTAGGCTCCACAGGAAAAGACACCACCCTCATCCCACCTGTTGGCTGGTAGACTAAAGTCTTTTTACCAGAGAGCAACTGGCAGTTAAAATACCATTTTCATCCAAAGGGACAAGGGGGACCAAGACCCCTTACCTTTTGCGACACCCTGCCTTGTCTCCTGGTTTTAGAGGGGTATGGGGGAGACATGATAATGAAGAGTCAGGGGCTGGTGCTTGTCAAGTTAAGGAAGCCCTCCACCATCACATTTCCCCATGTAATTCTAGCTCTGGAACAACAAGTATATTTGGTCCAGAATCATGAGCCTGCACAAGAGGTACAGAAAGATCGAAAGCACTGGAGGGCCATGGGAATGAGCACATGGCCCTCACCTTTCTACTCCTGGCTTTACCCCACGTTGACCAGAAAAGCCTGAGGAGAGATTATATGTCTATTTGGCCTAACCTCATTACAGTTCTCTGCAAGATGGGGAGCCTTGTGCAGTCAGAGATCTGAAATTGCATTCAGCCAAACATCTCTTCAGACCTTTCCAGCCAACACAGCAAGGCTGGGGGGGGGGGATGCACACATCTCCATGCCCACCCATACATTCAGTTTTATAAGGTCTGCACGATGCTACAGGATGGGCCCGTTCTCATCAGAATGAAAGGCAGATTTTCCCATTCTCCTTGGTTCCATCCTTTGCCACTCTGGTAATGCTTCATTCATGAAATCACCCTGCAAGGGTGGATTCATGAGCAGCGTCTGAGGTGAGCTAGGAGCTGGCAACTGCAAAGCATGGGACAAAGCCAGCATCCATGACCAAAGAGCAAGTCAGAAGTGAAAGACACATGAAGAAGCAGGCTCAAGAAGCAAGACAGAAATAAGGCCCAAAGAACAATCATGGATGCAGGAACATCTTGCAGCTCAGGAAGATCAGTTTGCTCCAGAACCTGGCATTCCTTCACCAAGAAACTACTGCCTATGTTTCAGTGACTCACTAGACTAGGATGCCCTCTGCTGATCTCAGCTGCATCTGACAATGGGCCAATTACTCCACAGAGTTACTCCACACAGCAATGCCACACAGCATTGCCACCAGTCTCCGAGGGACCTCGCGTAATTGCTTCTCCCCACTGGGGCAGGGATTACCAAGGGAGGACAGCCATATAATTGCTTCTGTCCTGTTGTTTCCTTTGCACAGCCATTACCAGAATGACATGGGATTTGCCACATGGAAGCAACAACGATGCTCCTTCAGCAAGGTAGGAAAGGTTGCCGGGTCTTACTCTATTTCTTCAAAACTGTAACATGACCAGGAGCAGCAACACACCTATCTTCTACCAGTTCTGGGAACCAGCGAAGAAACTTTTACTTTACAGGCGTTTTCCTGATGGGAATAGTTCAGCAAGAAAGATCTCAAATACGCCACACAGTATCAACAGAGATGCCCATTCGTCATTTGACCTACCGTTGGCGCAGCATAAGAAACTCTTGACCAACCACGCTTGCTAACACTGAATCTTAGCAATGTCACCACTTAAACTTTCCACCAACTCTGTAGACTGAACTCTGCGGACTGTGGGAGGATGGATGGTGGAGGATATTATTATATTATATTATATTATATTATTGGAAAAAATAACAACTTACCTTCAATATAAATGTCTGCTGTGTTCGAGTATCCATTACAAGTAAAACCTGAAAGAAACAATTAAACACCATGCATTTAATCTTTCTGAACATGTGCCTGATCAACCATTATGACTTCTTCCCTAGAGGTGCAAGCTCCTGGTAAAAGAGATCCCATGACAGTGGTAATATAAGCAGTAATGGATTGCTTGTTTACAAAGATACTTGGACTATAGTGTTTCGTTAATCAATGCCTTAGGCTTAGACTGATCTATTCAAAAGAGGTCCCATGGATAGATGTGCAAGTCTTTAAAAAATAAAAATGTTTTTTTACTGCGGCCTTGCCCAACACAGAACCACCCCCCACCCCCACCCCAAATGAGCTGGACTAAAACTGCAGCCAACAGTCCAACACACCTGAAGGATGCCGGATGGGAGCAGGCTGCAGTGACAGACAGGATGAATAGCAGACCCCTCTTCAGGAAGGCGTTTTCCGCTGCTTTTCTGCACAGAAGGGGATGCCTTGTCTAAGTTGGTGCCTCTCTCCCTTTTTAGGTGAGGCACAAGACATGTTTTCCTCAGAACTGTTTGATTCATATTGAAGATATTGTTCAATTTGTACCATAGATTCAATAGATTAACTCACTGACAAATTGTGCAGAATTACCCAGCGAAAGGGGATTTTGTTTTAACTGTACAATAGACCTTAAAAAGCCAAAGTATGCACATACCCTTAGGGTTCTGGTTTCTCCACGGCTCTGATGTGCAGACTGAATATGAAACATGGCGTGGCAACAACCACGGCCTTCTGGTACCCTTCCCCACCTCATAGACAACTCCTGAACACCAGTGGTGAGAAGGTGATGTAGCAACTCAGACAGTGATGTAGTCACCAACTCAGACAGCTATATAGGGGAGTTAGATACCCTCATGGAGGAAAAAGCTATGAATGGCTAACAGCTGCAATGGATATATATTAGCTCTAGTATTACAGGCAGTATGTTGATGGAAACATAAGCAGGAAGCAACTAAGTCAGAGAGTATGGGCTTGTTTCTTTTTAGTGTGTAATAAAGAGCCAGTTTTCCATAGCAGAAGAACAATATAACCCACACAGACCAAAACAATCATAAAAGAAATCTTATCTGTTGTGTGAACCAGACCGTTCTTGAGGCTTTCAGTAGAGTGAGACCAGTTCAAATTCATGGAAACGGAGCACTCTTGGCATGTTGCATGATGGGAAGTGCAGGGCCATTACTGGCCATTCTGCCCTCCATGTATCAGAAGGGATGTTCTAAAGCAGGATGGCTGCTCTACATATGAAGTCTTGCCACATGATTTATAACCTTACTGAATCAAGACTCTAGATGGTAGAAGATGTCTTCCCATTTCAGGCTTGGAAGGGGGTTTGCTGAGTAACAGGGATGAAAATGAAGGGGTGGGTCCTGCACTTTGGAAGCAGTTCAACATAAGCTTAACCCAGTTCTAATATCTTGGCTTAACTCACCGCAGAACAGTTATGAGTGGCTAAATGTGATGTGGCAGACAAACCTAATCATAGTTCAGATTTCCTGAATATCCATAACAAGCTCAGCTCAAGGAAACTCCCCCAGAACATAGGAATTGCTTGTTTAATGCTAATGATCTCCAAGCATAAAAACTTAGAAGTAATTGGAACATTCAGAAACTTATCTGATCACCAACCAAGATAATTTTTCCAAAGTTATTGTGCTTATGGGCATAGAACTCATTTGGAGCACCATCCATAGACATGTGTGGAAATTTAGAGAATATACTGAGAAAGACACAACCATTAGTTGCAAGACCAGGGAAATAAATCTAAGCATGTTTTCAAAAGTGTTGATTTTATGCTACTAGATCTGTAAGTTTGCAATCAAGATTTTGCAAATCAAAGCTCTTTAAAAACAGACTAAGAACTGATGGGATGAATCATGGCAAGAAAATTGAGTTGTGGTCCCTCTGCTTAGTCACAAGGCATTGGGGTGTGGGGGAAGACATGCCAAATTAAAATAGATAAAAACAGTTAAAAAGTGATGCATCAGTTTTCCCAGGGACTTTATCTCCTCGACCAAGTTTGTTTGTAGCGAGCTAACATTCACATTGAGGCAATAAATACAAGAACATATGTGATTTTTTTTTAAATGTGCCCTTTGACTGTCAATTTCTCCCAAACAGGTGTTGGTTAAATGATTATAAATTGGCCCCTGGATACACCTCTTCAACTGAGCCGTACAGGACTGGAGATAATATAATTAGAGTAAAAACATCAGGCCGGTGAATGCTTTCCATCTGCTTGGCAATAATGTTTAGTTAACAATAGTCTTTAAAAAGAAGCACCTTCAACTTCCCTTCTTAAAGTTATTTATAGGGCCATTCTTAACACCCCAGCACTCTTGCTAACAAGAGCTTTAGCCACTTGGAAATTATTAGCCATACGGCTAATTCCAAAAAAGAAATGTCTGCACACAACATCTGCAGCTCTCCAAATTTACATGAAGCAACCTCATTTTAGAGTCATTTCTTAATGAATAGGCCTACAACTCTGGATTAATATTATCATTGCATACACAAATATCATAAGAAGCCAAGCATTTTTTAAAATAAAAAATACCAACTCTAGGCTAATCAGTACTGAAGCCATCAGCATAAAGGACAGAATAATAGCTTCTTTAACCCTCAAAAGTGCTGGATCATTTGTAGGCTAGAACACACCAATTTAACAACACTGCTCATGGCTTTGCTCACCTTTCTAAAGACAAAAATCTAATTTGGACTAATTTGATATGATCGTCTTCCCAATCAAAAGCACCCAACACAGACTTTCATTTCAGGATAAAACAACTGCTGTAACCAAGCCGTCATGAAATAATTACCTTTGATAACATATCATTATTGGGACGAATACAATTAAAAGAAAGCTCCTGTTAATTCCTCATATTTGCTCATCTGCGCCCAGCTAGTGTATGGCTAGAGCTTACTCTTCTGATTGTCTAAGCGATAGTAGGCAATAAGTTGACCACGAGCCACGTACAAACTTTGGGACCGTTTTTTGCAGCTTCCCCTCAATCACTGTGAGCGACCTTGAGTGCACCCCATTCTTCATATTCTTGTCGACTGTGGAGATACCATTTTTGCTGGACTTTGCCAACTTATGGCTGGAAACCATTTCTATGTAGTACGTCAGTGCCGTAGTTATGACATAGGGAATGCCCTTGCCTAAAGATGGGTGAGAAACTGCTTTCAATTCATTTTTATAAGAACTTACCAGCATTTGCATAGTTCTCCAAATTTAGTTTGAAAAAGGATGTGCCATTGTGCAAACTGAATGTGGGGAAAACTGAAATTGAATGATTTGCCCATTCAGGGCCAGGGCTTTGAGTGCTTAACTTTTAAGGGCCAGCATTTCCAATCCTGCGATAGAGTATTAGAGTAGAAAAGGAGTTGCTACTTCTTTTTTATGACAGAATTCTTATCCTTAACAACTATATGAAAGGCAGGTACATTTTTCCCTTCACTGGAATAGCTGCACCTATTGAATTTGGCCTAGTCAGATGGGTGAGAATTTGGTTTCAGTTTGCTTTTAATAAAAATTGGCCAAAATTTTCAAATATCAGATTCAAGATGGAAAGAACTTGCTGTCTAAACGTTCAAATGTAAGAGAAAGCAAAGCAGACAGATTTATCCATTCGTACCCTGGACACAGAAAACAAGTGAAAGAAGTCCCTGCAGAAGAACCAGAGGCATGTCCCTGAGCTGAGGGCATTGTCACTCTTCTCTTATTTCGTTGCAGTTAGTCTTCACACATAAGCGTATGCTTCTTGTCTGGGCCTCCCTTTGCACTGATTTTATGCAAGTCATTTATTCTCTGTTACAGAAACAGGCAGACTTGCATAGCCATTGGCCAGCAACAGTGGGGAAGCAGCCTTTCTTGACCACTAGCCATGCTAGCTGGGGCTGCTGGTGATAGTTATAGTCTAAAACATCTCAAGGATATCACATGGGGAAGGCCACAGCTCAGCGTAACCTATATTATACATGACAAATCCATAATTACACTCTCATGGATTATTCAGATTATTTTATGCAGTGCCCCTCTGATCTAAGTTACTCAAGTTTTATCCTGCCCTTTCTCCAAGAAACTCAAGTCAGTAGACTTCATCATCTCTTTATCCTTGCAACCATTATGAGAGAGAGATTAAGCTGAAAGATAGCAATTGGTCTAAAGTGAGCTGAATGAGAACTGAAGCCAGGACTAAGTCCAGCACTGCAATTAACACTTGTCCTCCCATCATCTGCAAGGATTAGTTTCCTCTCACTACACAACTTACTCCCAGCCATCCTTGAAGACAAGCTTTTCTTGAATTGGGAACCTCATCAAGCTGCGGCTGTTGCTGCCACTGCCACCACAGATACACTCAAGGCAGTTTGGTATGGCACAAACAAAGCACGGCATCCAAAGACAAACCTGATGGGACATTCAGCTTCCAGAATTCTAAAGCAGCACAACAACCTCATGCTCTGGTCAGCTGCTAGGTTTCCTCGAAATAAGCGAGAGGGGAGGGGCATCCCTAAGCACCCATCCTGTGAGGAAGCCTGCGGGCAAGTTCTATTCTCACAGAGGCCAGCTCCTGAACTCAGATGTCCCCAGGTTGGCAAATAAGGGGCCATTTGCATTCCTCAAATGACTGGATTAGGCTCTGGGAGCTCTGACTACCCTAGTTTATTTTCAAATGATGTGTCAGCCTTAAACAGTAGCTTCCACCAATTTTCTTTTCTTTTTTCATTCCCCCTCCTCCTCATCATCCTCAGCAAGCAACTGGATTCTTTAGAATATGAAGATCGTGCTAAAGAAATACAACTGGAAAAACCAAGTCAGGACCTTCAAAGAAGTCTTTGTGCTTTGACAGTAGTTTCAGTCTCCTAGTATAAATGCTCCTGAGAATTAGGATTAATTATTATGAATGGAACAGCATGGGAGCATTTAGAATAAGTAAGACGGGAGGAACATGTTATTTTTGAAGGAGGATCGAGCAGTAAAAATATTAATAAATCCTATATTTTTTAATCTCCAATGCTCCAAATTTGATATTGATTCTAATGTTACTATTCAAAAAGATAAATGCTGAATAGAATTCATGTGGATGTGAACATCAAAACACATTCTTGCATGGAATTCAGTGATGTTTACTCTAGAGTAAGCATTACATTGGATGGTAGCCTTGCTTCCATATAAAGGAGTTTAGACACAAGATCATGGTGGATGTCCAAATTATTCCTGTCCATCACACTCCCAGAAGGGAGTGAATGAGATCCAGCAGTAGATTTTACAAAAAGCAAGGATTATAAATATAAATAAGAGCATTTAAAAAAAAGAAAAAAGACAGAAAACTGGAGAAAGAAAAAAGAAGATGGGGAGGGGTGAAGCTGGTAAATAACTACTGTTTAGCCTAAAGAAAAGAGTTGATTTTAGAAACCTTTAAACACACAGAAATTAGCAACTGTTTCAGTATGCTAATTTTTTTAATTAAACGATACTTCTGCAGCAAGAGCTCTTTCATATGCACTGCTGACTCTTCATCAAAAGCAAAGTTTCCAACTTAACACCAGCGTAGCTGGTGGCAGCCTGAAGGGTTACCATCTGCTGCCACCCCAAGTCACGGTGGCCACCTTCAGAACATACGCATCAAAGCGCCAAGATGAGAGACGGAAGGAATGCTGCAGAAGTCGGCAGAAGGGGAGTCACAGGCCCAGAGGCGGGCACCAGGCAAACCACCAGAAACAGGGAATATGGAGAGCCATTAGTCACCTTCTTCAGCTCCCTGCCAAGGTCGCAGGAGACACAACCGGAGGAACCAAGAGCCAGGAATAAAATGCATCCGTCTCCAACGGCTGTTAAAGTAAACAGAGTCATCCCACCACCTCGGACAATTGCTCCAGCCCTCTGTGTATTCTCACAATGCAAGTTTTGATTCTGACCTCCTCACCCACTTGAAATGAGACATGGCTGTCGCTGGTTTTAAAGAAGCCGGTCCTCCTTTTTGCTGGCAGCTACAGACGTTGTCTGACTAGGGAGAACAGCCTTCTGCTGAAGCAAACAAAGAACAACTATTTTGAGGGAGCAAGAGCGCGTACTACAGGGGCTTAAGATGGGTTTGTGGTGGGGCTGCCCATGCCCCCCTTTATGTGCTCATTTAAAGCACTTTTAAGCAGCTGCTTAGTCAAAAAGGCTTATATACATGACTGTCCCTGGCCATTTTAGTATTTTTAATAGAGATGGTCTTGTCCCCCACACCAAGAATGTAGGCTGAGGAAATGGTAAAGTGGGCCCCTGAAATGGCATCACATACACGTGAATAAGAATTTCCACTCCACAGAGTTTTATTTATTATATTTACATCCTGCTTTATTTCTTTCCAAGGAATTCAAGGCAGCTTACATAATTCTCCTCTTCCTCCTCCTCCTATTTTTATCCTCACAATAACCCTGTAAGGTAGGTTGGGCTGAGAGTCTGTGACTGCCTCCATGGCCCTCCAGGCATCTTTTCTGGCAGCTTTTAATTTGACTGGTGTGTTGGGGTAGGTGTGTTTAACCCATTCTCCCTGTGCCATTTCCCTAGTCCTAGTGCCCCACATTCCATAAAGTGCTGCTATGGAGGAAGAATACAGTAATTTGTTTTCCCAGTGGAACCTCAAAAGCTGTCAATCTTTGCAGAGCGCTAAGGATCTTCAACAAAGACCTGACACTACATTTACCCAATTATGCTTCCTAAGATTTTCCGGGCAAAGCCAGGGCAAATGTTCATTTGTAGTTAGAGCTACTCTACAACAGCCTTTCCCAGTCTGGGACCCCCAAACATATAAGACTGCTAATTCCCAGATCACATGTCTACACCAGGAATGCCCAGTTTATCCTTGGGAACATATTCTAATAATAATAATTCACTGGACATACATTTTGTCACACAAACTGGACTTCTTGTGGTCATACCTGTCTAAATATTCCATCATAAATCAAAGACAGATTTAATATAAAACAAAGACTGCTTCTCTTTCTCGCTTACTATTTCAAAATCACTCCCTCTCTTTAACGACCCGTAGATTAATACATACTAGGGCCACAAGGAGCAACATAAAATTTGTTCCTCCTGGGGCAACAACTTGGCCATTACTAACTTAGACCACCTGCTTGATAACGGCAAACATCCTCACAAGCTGGCTGTACTTTCTTCCATTCTCTCTCCCTCCCTCACTCTCTACTTTCCAACTGAGGATAAAAGAGCGAACACACA